AATTTCTGGCTTTATTAGCACAAGGACAAATGTCAAATTATAAGTAAAGCAGATGATCAGCAGTTATAGTCAGAGGATCTGCTAAAGGGGAATCATTCAGCCCCAGCTCTGCTCTTTCCTTTCAGCAGAGATCATGTGAGTATTATTATTTTTGATCATGATACTAGCACTTTATACATCCCAACTGTTTATTATACATTTTTGAGTAAAGTTTAAACCTTGCTTTCTGTACCAGTAAAGCCCTGCCTCCCATACTATTATGCTCCAATCTCCATAGGCTCAATTTGAAAAGCTTTAACAAGGATAGGGGTATTTATTTTCAGCCATGTGCAAGTAAACTTCAAATTTCATTGGACAGACATCACTTTTTGTTAGAATACGGATCTTTATCCTGGTATGATAGCTTTGTGAACATAGCTCTGCGCATGTTTTAACTGTAAGTAATTTAGTTGAGCCACAGAAGTCTTCCTCAGGCTAATCTGCTAGAGGTTCCATAGTAATAGCAGTGGGTAAGCACTATAGAAGAACACTGCAATCATCTTCCAAAACTCACTAAAACCCTTTTGAGGGAATTAAGTACAATATACAGTATATCTTCCTTACTTTCTTCCTTCACAGCATAAGGACCATGGGATTCAAAATCGCAGAGATATTTGTTGAATAATGTAAATTGAATTTTATTGTAATTGGTGAAGTGTCACTATTCACAGTATTGGCTGCTAAAAAAGGCTTTATGTTAACAACTAAAATATAGATGCAATTCAATCCCCGATGCTATTTCAAATCATGCTACCCTAAAAAAGCATGCGTGTGCACAAGAAATGTTTGTAGACTGGGTCTACACTCAATCTACATTGTTATCTGTCAGTACTAGCCTATGTACGCAGATGATTAAATATCAAATTTTCCTGCTTACGTGCAATTGCAATCAGTTGTAAATGTACCACATTATGTAATAAAACATAATCAAAACAGATCCAAATACAAACTGGGAATGGTGAAAACAGTTCCCTTCAGTATATGCCAGGATACTATTTTTCTTAAGTTTGTCATATTATTTCTCAGAAAATCCTTAATCATATCCAAGACCAGATTATGCACCACAGCCACATCGCCACTGTATGCACAATAATATAAAAGGTAACCTAGTATATTATATTGTTCTTGCTAACCTTTTACCTGTTTATTATAGAGTTCAAGTGGGATCCGTAGTAGAATACAAATTACCATTCTATAGTAGTTATCATAGTTGGCTATTGCACTTTATATCAACTACAAATTGTTAACAGTGCACAACTTGGGCACTAAAAATGATTATAGAATGTAAAGAAATAAGTTTCATCACTGAAAATTGTATAAGATACTGTTTCATCTAGTAAAAACCTTGATCACATGTTATCACAGTTTGGGAAACAATAGAATTGCTTTGGAAATAAAGGTTCTAAATTCTGAAGGCTACCTCAGTTGTCAGCTGGATTCTAATAGGTAGCATCACTGTAGGGTCCCAAGGTTCTATAGTTCTTAAAGGACAGCAGCTGGCTCAGTGTTTCATCTCCCTCTCCAGATAACTGATGGACTGGGCACTAATAATTAGTATTAGTTGACATATAGCCCTTGCAAGATGTCTCTAACAATCTAAACTAAACTCACTGACTGATTGGGCAACTACATGACAACTGAGGTTTATTAAAGTAGCACCTAGAGCTCAAAATATGTGCGCATCATACATTTTAGAGCAGCCTTCCTCAACCCTTTCATTCTGGAGGAATTAGTGGTCAGCGGTCAATGAATGAGATAAGAAAGAAGAGGCTCTGTTCTACTTATTGCTTGAGGAACCCCTAATATCCAGTGAAGGAACCCTAGTTTATTAAAGGCTGATTAAGAAGGAATTAATCACATCGATGACTAAGAAAGGGCTGGATGTACAAATGGATCATAGACTTAATGCCAATTTACAGCTTGTAGAGTAATCAAGATACTTTATTGTATTACAAAAGGCATAGACCCCACCCTGTGGGACAGACCCCATCTCTACCAACCCTATTCCTGAAACCCTGACCACATCCCCTCCCTCATATTGTTGTAACTCCCTCTCTCAACATATAAAACATTATCCACCAAAATATCCTTGTTATCACTGCAAAAAAAAACTTAGGTGGGTAATACAATATTTTTTGTGGGGATTAGCCTCCGTCTACTGCAAGGGCACACAGAATCCATTAATTGCACTGAAAATCAGATAAATATAGTTGGACCATATTTTCTATTGTCCTTACATCTATACCAATGTCATGTATATGACAAAACCTGGCAAAAAGCCAAAATACACCACACATATTTTAACTTAACTGTACAACCTATATATTAAGATTGTTCTTTTTTGCCAATATTAGGTTGCAGGAAAATATAACTAGTTTAATACTTGCCTTCCAACAATGTAATTGTACCACTTTGTGTGCTGCTCTGGATGCACTTACGACACAGTGGATCAATACAAGAATGGATATTGATGTGTAGAAGTGATAATGGTATGTATGAATTTTGACAATGAGTATGCACAACATTAAGGAATAGATTCAAACCAAGTTAGCACTTATTAAACAGAACTAAAACCATCTTTATTATTTTTTTCAATATGGAACAATAAATACAATTTAAGAAATTCTGAATACAAAGTCATAAAAAAAGGAGGATATATAAATATGGCAATCTATAAGTATAAAAAACAGTGGTTTTCACAAAATTAGACTTTATTAGTGAGCAACAGGTTCTAGTCCATCAGCAACTCACAGAAGATTGGAAATACGTGTGCTAAAACTCACAATTTTAAGGCAGTAGATCTGTGTGCCACCAGTGCATACATATAGTTTGAGGTGACAAGGCCACAGATAATGTGCTATCCACAGCACAAAGCACGGTAACTAGATTTACTGTAGCTGGTCTACTGGGAGAATCCAGTTCAGCAACATAACAAATAAATAAAACACAAAGCGTATTTCAGTGAATGCAAAGTTTAGTGATTATATGCAAAGTGCATTAGACCATAGATTTCAGTGTGCTGTTAGTCAAATGGCAAATGATGAAATCTGATTGGTTGTTTTTAGCGTTTTGAATCATTTAAAGAAACCTCAAAATTCTATTATATTTACATAATCGTTGTGATAATTTTTTATGATGATGATGTATGCTATCTCTAAAAATGTATTTTTAGATGCACTGGTTTATTACAGTTTAGCCCCCAAAAGACACCAGTGATAATGAGTAATAATCAAAATTAGGAAAACTAAACAAGTAGTGAAATGTGGTCAGTAGGTGACTATGACTGACCTGTGAACATAGTCACAGTGTGGTCGCAACCTGAGGTAAACCAGCCAGTGTAGACAGGAGCTAAACTGGGAAATAATCCAGCTTTCTAATCTAGTGATAGGGCTGCTACTTGAATTGTCATCTACTAGGGGTGCTTTATTTTTTAAAGGGACTGTCCCTAAATACACTTCTGTATTCACTCCAAGCCCTTGTGCTACACTACAGGGGTTATTCCAATCGGCACAGCCCACATATTTCTGTACATGGAAATGAGTGCTACAAAACATTGACACAAATGCAATTTAATTCTCAGATCTTCAGCTGTTTCAGTAGGACTGATAACCTTGGTGTGTATCTTTAGGATGTATAAGGAGAACGTTAGAAGCTGGAAATAATATTTTCTATGGCCAACACACTTGTGCTTGTAAGATAGTGGACATGCATTTTTTTATTACTATTTTCAAGACATTATCTATGGTTGGGGTCCGAATGGAAACAAAACCATAGTACTGGTTACAGTAAGTAAGGTAACTTTCCTTTTTTGCAGTCAGTGGTAAACAACAGTTTGCCCTACCCTAGTGGCAGTTTATGTCAGACTATAGCAGAAGTGATCAGCTTTACTCCCTCTATTGTAACAACACAAAAGGACTTGATTTACTAAAGGCAAACAGGCTGTTCATTTTGCAGGGAATTTGCACTTTGCAGGAGAAGTTTGCCCTTTTAGTGAATGAGGTGAAGCTCTCCTGACTTCCATCATCCAATCATGTGCAAGCAAATGTTTGTTTGCCTTGCACATGATTGGGTATTCTTTGCAAAGTGAAGTTTCACCATATTTACTGAGCCAAGTGGAACTTCCCCTCCAAAGTGCAAATTCCCTTGCAAAGCCTATTTACCCTAGTAAGTCAATATCATAGTAGTACCAAAGGCCAGATTTTTGGGCAGGCCAGAAAGCACTCACTACACTAGGCTCAGACTTGTGCGGCCTATTCATATATCCAACTTTAATCAAAAGGACTTCCCCAAAGGGGATTTTAATTAATATTAAAATAAATGTTATTAATTCATGCCATCCTCTTCTAACAAATACGTTTTTTTTAAACAGTTCAGTTCAACTTGCCAGAACAATGTCCTACATGTATGAATTAAAGTTAGATATCATCTGTTCTAATATCAACTAATGTCCCAGCGTGTCAAAACATAAACAGATGGGACAAGAGAAAAAGACAGTATAATAAATGCAGTTGATCTTGATATGTAGTTTATGAACTATCCATTCAGGTAAATTTGACAGCAATATAAACTCAAAATGTTCTCTGTATTTGCAAGAATTAAAAAGAGATAGAACTGTGGTGTGTTCTGATAAGGCAATCACTCACATACAATCTAGTTTTCATTCAGAAAAATGTAAGGAAAATAAATGTTCTTTTAATTAAGTATTTGTGGATACTGGTGTGTCCTCCATGTTTTGGACTATAGACAGTAACTGTTCATGTCTAATTAAGTGGTTCTTAATTAGCTTAATAAGTGGTGCTTAATTTGCTGCTGAAAAGGGAGAATGAACATGAAATGTACTGATTTAAAATAACAGAGAAAAGCATTGAACATATTGCATATTTAAGGTCATAACTGTGATGATGATGAAAACATCTGAATGAAACGTTTTGTTGTGGAAAAAAGGACAGCTTGTATTTATTCACCAAGCTGATTAAAACACTCCTTTCACACATACATGGTCATGCTGGAAATGTACATATTCTTTAAACTCAGAGGTTTCCGTGAATAATCTTTGGGCATGACTCGGGTGGGACGCAGTGAGATTCATGTTCTACCAGTCCAGCTGGACACTGACAGCCAGGAACACATGGCTTAAAACAGTGAGACTCCAGGACGCCTAAGGGAACATCTTTATTGAAGCATGTCTTGGGACAGGGAGGGCCACATTCATCGAACACGTAGCCTCTGTCATGTGGACAGCCAACAGCTGTAGGAATAAAAAACAACAGTTATTTAATATTGCACAGTAGATAAGACTTTACTGTACAGATATGATACATCTTCATGCAAAAAGCACAAGCTCATCACTGCTGAAGGTTTTAACATTAGGATGTGGTTCAGCTGAAATCTACACTTGCAATTGTAGATATTTGGTATGGATGCCATATAAAAGAACTGCATTGCTTAAGGATACCACTACAGTTTAGTGGGCCTGTGTCAATGGACTTTTGTTTGGGTTTAAAAGGGTTTTGCATTCCCATACAAGTCTTAGGGTATGCAAAACCCACTTGAAGCAGGTAAAATGCAGGTCAAAAAGAGATCAACTGCAGCTTGCATGCAACTGTCAACTAATTTTTGAGTGATCTCATTAGCTGATCAAACTGATGTCAAACCAATGCTAGGGACACAAGCCCATAGATCCCAAATTTCTGAAATGAGAAAGAGACACATTCCAGCACAATGTATTTAGGTAATGGACACACCCCCTGCTACGTCCCTACTTACATGTGGACCATTAAGAATATATATGGCAAAATGATTTGTTAAACCCAGAATTGTTTTTTTCCACCAAAATGTTTACTTTATACTGGCTTTTTAAAATTGCAAGGAAGATAATTAAAAGATAAAGGTTTTACTGCCCTTTCGGTAGTTAAATAGAAAGTTACATCTAGATATCTGTACATCAGACCAAAAAAAGGGACAACTGAGGAGAAAAGGGGGGCAGAGGGATTTGGTTCCAAAAGAGGGAGAGTCAGGAGTTATGCAAGACTTAAACCCATTGGCACAGGCCCTAATACTCAATACTGTCAATAGGCAGAAAATGCTCATCGATATATTATCGGCTCTGGTTCCTATGACATCTTGATTTGCTTTTAAGCCAGCCCTGGCCATCAATATTTCCAGAATAAAACAGATAAGGATCTTCAAATTTTATAGCTCAGTATGCATTGTTATATTCTTACCATGTATATAGCTCTCCTGGAGAGGACTGCCATCCCACAACTAACAGTATAATTTTGTAACAGTTACACACAATGTTACACTGAATGATCACTGCTACGAGCTCCTGCAGTGATCATTCAGCCACACTGTTTTGCCCTTGTTTGCATATCAAGACTTTAGCTGTCCACCTGACAGTTGGTCCCAATGTTAAGCAACTGAGAGTTTATTTAATTCTCATAAACATCCTAATGAGTAAAATGAAGTCCTCTAGGATGTTTATGTACTGTAAAAGACCCACATATCCTTGATTAAATTATATTGTGGTATTAAAAGTAAATATTATTTCTTTATTATATGGAATCATTAATTATTTTTCCTTCAAAACTGCACAATTTTCACAGACGAATATTACCATGGTATGATTCAACAGATAACATGTACTTACCGCATAGTGCTGGAGACCTCCACTGCAAGACAACTCCAGCCTCCCTGCACTCTGATGCGTATGCTTCCAGAGCATCACAAAGACACTCATCTCCTGCTCCACATGCGCACAGATCATACACACAGGAAGCAAAGAACATCTCTGGTGGAACCACTCTGTGACATGGCTCAAACACACTGGACTTTAGTAATTTGCAACGCCCATTGGCTTCTTTCCTGGCACGATATCCAGCCTGTTTACAGGGGTCAATATCTTGACCGTCCCAGCACCCAATGGAGGAGTCATTACTGCTTTGTACCTGTGTAAAAAAATTTATATCATAACACCCAGCAGAAATGTAATGCAGCATACAGCAGAATATCATAACAATACAACTACATATTATAGAGGCCTTGATCATGTATAAAACAGGGAAATTAATAAAGATCACTGTTTATAAAGTAATAGAGAATGATATTTGCCACACTGGAGCATTTTCATCACCTTCCAGCTGTTTCCAAAGGCAGCCTCAGAGAGGAGAATCTGACCCCTTCGGTCACGGAAATCATCTTGAGGATAATTGTTGAAATTTCCACAAAGCCCACATAGATGATCACGATATGTTCCAGGGACGCTGACCTCGAGATGAGATCGTCCATTCCATTGTACCTAGCAGGTATGAATGCAGTGGAAAGAGGGAAAAGTTAAGACAAGAAGGCAGGTTGGCAGAACATGGCAAATATAAAATATTTGTCCGTCTCAAATACAAATCCATGTACATGGGCCATTAATGTGCACACAATATTACTCCCAGTAACCAATATCAAAACATATACCTTGACTCCAATGTTACTGTTTAGTAGAATAGTGTTTGTTTTCCTCTCAATGTAAATATAAGGTTCTTTTAAGTATGGCAGCTCTACAGTCTGGTAATCCACCTGTAAAGGAAGAGAAATGTAAGTTAAAAAGCAACTTTGCCCACCAATTTAATGAGAAAGGCGTTCTCTAAATGGTGGCGATGCTGAGGGACCGACTCCCTGTATTGAGTGTGCGCAGGGGAACCCACTTGAACCGCAGCCAGAAGATCTATCACTGTATATAGTACAGATTACTACAGTGATGTTCAGGATTCCAAACTGCTCTCCAGATATCATTTATGGACACTCACATCAAGCCAAGCTGGACTAATGCAAGTTTGCAAAAACTTTACTTCTTGGAGTTGCACTTTAACAAAAATCCAAGTATTGATGCAAATGAGTATCACCAGCACTCAATGAATACTTGTAAATTCTTGTTTGTATTTATTTGAAAAGGTGCGTCACGTGCAAAAAATAACGTTTCGGGGCCACGCAGAATCCCTTCTTTAGGGTCACTATTTCACCCTGATGAAGGGACCCTGCGCAGCCCCGAAACTTTGGTTTTTGTACATGACGCACCTTTCCAAAGAAATAAAAACAAGAATTTACAAGTATTCGAGTGCGGGTGATCTTCATTTGCATTAAATATATGATAAATGTCACCAGCACACCTATGTCTTGTGTCAATAATCCATCTTCTTTATTGATGCAGACTGTTTTTTGACAGTCTGCATCAATAAAGAAGATGGATTATTGACACAAGACATAGGTGTGCTGGTGACATTATTAAATATTTGAAGATGCACAGCGCCATCCATGGATACTACAGCACCCTCCTTTATACACAGGAGCTCCAGTAAGGAGTGCAGCAGTTCCTCTCCAAGACTTCATTTGCATTAAGACTTGGTATTACACGGCGCCATCCGTGATCATCACTGCGAGCACAACCATTTACTGTATGGTCCTAAACGCTATAAAGAGTGCAGGGCATACATCTGGACACTTAAGAAAAATCCAGGTAAATACAATAGTTGCATAAAATAATGCATTTTTTAACCAAAGTAATGAAAACTGTGTACATATTTTAGCACTTCATAAAAATAAATAATAAAAATTGAATTCGTAGTGACCTATTTTCTAGGTTTGTCACTTATGATGGCAGAGACTCGAATGTAGATTTTCCACTTACCACAACCACCCAGTCCTGTAGGAGCTGGACCACAGCATCCCCAATCAACACAGTTACTTCCTTTGTCCATGATACTCCACGTTGTCCGCGGTCATCATTTGTCACATGGATGCTAAAAGAATCAACAAAGAGTTGCAAAGGTCATTTGAAGCATTAAAACATGTTACATGATACATGTTCAGCATACCACAGATTATACTGCCAGCAAGAACCATCATTACTATTTAATGATAACATAATTCTCAGAAAACAATTATTATAAACTTGAATGGCAATATCCAAAAATGTTGTGATCTTATATGGGGCAACAGCAGAAATAGACTGGAAATACCAACCAGTCTTCCCTAACAGAGGTACCCCTTACCTGAAGTCTCCTCCTTCACAGTCTTCACTGAAGACATAGGTACAACTGCCTTGGAAATGATACATTTTGCCATCAAACGTCCTGTAGTGTGGGTCTCCAAATGCAATGCAGCTGGCTGGGCGAGGAATGCAGTGTGGACAGCACATGCCAGGGATCAGGGCTGGAGTCTCATCCTAAAAAACAAGGAATAACACCTAACATGTACTGATAAATATTTACATAACTGTCAACCAGGCTTCACAGTTTTCTGCTAAATGTACATATTATTACTATTATGGGGAATAAAAGATGACAAAAACGAAATACTTCACCGGCTTTCTACATATATTTATTTTTTGTATAATGTCTCAAATCTGTTATATGTCTTTTGTAACCAAGGACCTCTGTACATGTACAACTGATTAACTCGCACAGAACAAATGTACCTGCAGTTTTGCCGGAGGAACAGCTATACTATTCTGTTTATAAAAAGACCCCTTAGTGTCAGGACAGGCACTTTTAGTCTCCACCAGGGGTGCATGTGATAGGGTGACAACAGAGGAGAACAATTCAGATACAGAGACCACATATTATTATGATAAAAGCTTTACAAAGACTGAAAATTACTTGAAAATTCAGGCTCCATTTATAAAAATTCCCCCGGGCAGCCAGACTTCAGCCCTTCAGCTGTTAGAGAAACTAAAAGTCCAATAAGGCATTGCAAGACAGCCACAGGCATGACTCCCAGAGGTAGATGCATCATGGAGGGCCGACGTTTGGCTACCCCTGCCCTATATGTTTATGTTAAACATTATACAAGATTATACTGAGTGGGTTTAGATTTAATTTAGTATGTGTTTAGAAGAAATTTATAATGGCTTGTTAATCATCAGAAAATACGGAACGTATAAGGAGTAGTTTTAAATCGCTGCAACATGTACAGCTAACCTTACAGAAAATACATGATATAATAGGTTGCAACTTACAGCAGTACAGGATACTTGTGGACACCTCTCACTATGGCAGTGCACCTCTCCAGAAACACATGTACACGTTGTACACTCATTGACCTGCCAATGCTCATTAGATAGGTACCTCTGGCCTTGATACAGACAGGATACAGCTGGAGCTGTGAGAAGAAAGTTATACGTTATAACATTTGTCATTGATTTGTCATTGATACCGATGAACCCGTCCAAAAAACTAGTCAAACGCCCCACTGCGGAAACCTGACACAAGAGCATTGCAGAGGCTTCCATTGTTGACCTTCTTACAATGCTATTTTCCTGGCTATTATGTCTTTTGTACTTTCTGAGTCACAAACCCAGAACATGCATTTGAATTTAAATTAAGAAAACCTGATCCTTGTCCCAGGTCAGCGACTCAGAAAGCATTATGGGCAAATGGTCCACATAACAGCCAGACTGCCGCATGTTTATAGATGAAAGACAAAAAACTGCGCTTATGGAAGGAGAAGAAAAGAAGAAAAACCGGACTAGCTAGAAGCTGCTAAACTCAGGCGGTGAGCCTTATAGGTTAATCGATCCACAGTACAGCACTAAAAGCCTCACAGTGTTACACCCAATTAGTGTTATGTTTCAAACATGCAATCAAGTATCAAACTTAGTGTTCATAATAAAGTATCTAAAAAACAGATCTCTGTGTGAGGAAAAACAGGTGCACAAATCAATATGCATGAATACAGTTCAAGTGAATAAAATATACATGTACAATATATCCTCAAGTGAAACAATTGAAGTGAAAAAAAATGCAAAAAATTTCGTATAATTTGTGTCACAATTATACAAAACGTTTTGCATTTTTGCATTTTTTTTCACTTCAATTGTTTCACTTTAGGATATATTGTACATGTATATTTTATTCACTTGAACTGAATTTGTTGCCTCGACTACTGTAACTCCCTCCTTGTTGGCCTACCACTAAACAGGCTATCCCCCCTTCAGTCTATCATGAATGCTGCTGCTAGACTCATCCACCTTACCAACCGATAGTGTCCGCCACCCCACTCTGCCAATCTCTCCACTGGCTCCCAATTGCCAAATTCATAAAATTCTAAATAATAACAACGACATACAAAGCCATCTACAACTCTGCCCCCAGCTACATCGCAACCTCACCATAAAATATCACCCAAACAAATCCTCTCCCCTCCTCTCAAGACTTCCTGCTCTCCAGCTTTCTCATCACCTCCTGCCATACTTGCCTCCAGGACTGCTCCAGAGTGTCTCCCATCCTCTGCAACCTACAAGCCCATTATAATACAGACAATAGTAATATTCAAGTGTAATCACATTTACTTTAGTAAAAAAATAATACTTATTCACCGTTTTTATGGCTTTTTTTGGTGGTCTGTGTAGTGGATGGGTGAGCAGTATATTACATCACACAGCGGGGAGGTATATTCTCCGTTTGTGTGTGCCTGCAATCCAGAAAAGTGTCTCTTCCTGCTTGGAAGCCAGTGTGAAACATGTGGGGGGGGGGGCAGATGGGTATCTCCTTCTGCTGGGAGATACAGGCAGAATGGCGTCCTGTGACTCCAGGAAGGTAGAACTGATGTGAAAACTGACCATGACATCACAGATCAACCTCTGTGCTTGGCGTGGTCAGATAGCAACAGGGAAGAAGGGGGACTGGCAGGATCATTAGATATTTCCCAGCAAACTAAGAAATTAAAAAATAATTGGCTACAATTACAACAATGACACAGTCAGATTAAAACAGCCCACTCACCCTGACAAACATTGCAGCAAGTTCCAGGTGTCCGCACTTTTAGTTCACCTTGCTGACACTGTATAGGAGGGCACTCCTGTATCTGGCAGTCAACATGCCCCAGCTACAAAGAACAATGTATTTCAATAAAATGATGCAAAGAATATACCCAAACACAATTATTGCCTAAGAATCCATTTTTTTTTTAAAGTGACATTCAAAAGGGATAATCCCAATACAAGCCCAATATTCTTACAGAACACCTTGTGACAATGTGCAAATTTCCCCACCAAGCCAAGGTACCCATTGTGAAAATGCACAAAAACAAAGCCACCTTGGTGTGAACGAGGCATTAAGATTCTGTCTTATGGAAGCGCATATTTAAATATTGGGTTTCAGAAGATGAAACCTTTAAAGGATGCCTGTCATGAGAGAAAGACATAGACTGTTAATGCGAAAAGGCGAGTTGTCTGGCTGTCTTGCTGACCTCACTGGCCTCAATTCTATTAAGTCACTTACCTTGAACAAATATGCAGATAGGAATCGAATTTCTGACTTTCCTGATCTTGTTCCAGGTCAGTGACTCAGATGATATTGAAGCCAGTGGGTCAGCTTAACAGCCAGACAACTAGTATTTTCAGAGGGAAATCAGCAGTAGCAGGCCTTGTATTTCTTTAAAACGTTTTCTTTAAATAGTTTATGCTATTTTTACAAATTCAAACAAGAAAGTCTACTTTGCCAAAGGTCACATTATACTATACATAGGGTGTAGGATGGCAGGAAAGTAGTTCTGTAGTCTGCACATTAACATGGTTACACATAAATCACAAATACATTTCCTTTCTAACTAATTATTTTCAAGATCATGTTTACTGATACGATCAGGAAACTATAACATTTTCTGCAACCAAACAGTACTAGGAAAGTAATGAGTTCCACTGTATGCTGACAATAAAATGCTAATGCTATGACTTATCTCTGCTGTAAGGGCCATGAGTACCTTTATAAGTAATTTGGATTGGTATATACTATATATATA